AGACCTGCATGAGGTGGTTAATGGTGTTGGAGAATCTATTAAACTGATTCACAAGAGATTATCCTCTATCAGTTCAATTGCATAATTAGTCAGCACGCATGTTGGACCTTATTTGTCTAGTTAGATGACATTTCATATTTACCTGATGGTTTGATTGTAGGCAAAACATTGTTAGTGACTGCCTAGATCTTTCATATTGCTAGAAAGCAGGTACAGAACAAACCAAATAATTTAATTTTGACAATAGCTTTAAACCACCATTTCCTGTGATCATACGATTTCTTGCAAGTACTTTATTGATTTATCTGTTTCCACAAAATTGGACACTTCAATTGTCATAATATATTACAGCTGTACAGGGTTATCTTAGTTAAAAGCTGTGACAACAATATATTGTTCAGATAATTTTGGAAGAGTGACGATCTTCGCAAACAGATGGCAAGAAATTTCCCAAATATTAGGAATATAATGACTTGCCCTGGCACAAATGGTGTCAATGTGGTGCGAAATATATGGTGAAGAAACCTACTATGCTTTGACATGTCTTTCCTTTATCATGCTCATAATTCTGCATTTGTTCACCAGGTGGCCTGTCAATGTGAATTCCAGAAGTTCGAGAACAAGTCAGATGCCATTAATCCTAGTTCTGGTATAGATGGACGCCTTGCTACAATGATTAAGAACTGGTGGTTTGGAGAGAAACTTCTTGTTGGAAAGCTTGAGCATAAATACATTATTGAAAAAGAACTGGTCAGCCTAATTCCCGCCTTCTCCTCTTTTGCTTGTACGAAGTACAACAGCCACCATCCCATTTCTGATGTGTCTTCTGCAGAATATTGTCTGCCGCTATGATGAAGTTGCCTTGGAAGTGATGTGGGGCATGAAAAACCTGTTACATATCGTAGTTCCTGAAGAGGAATTAGAGCTGAGTGATGAGGACAGCAAGCATAGGAGCAAAGGATTACAAATATTCCTGCAAAATCTTAACTTCGACATCAAACCTGATCTAGTGAGCTCACTGGCTGCCTTTCCTGATGTCATTTACTCTCTGATATGCACCATGTCATTTACTCTCTGATTGCTTACCCCCCTGTAATCCGTGAAGTTTACATTGCACTACTAGCTGAAACCTCATGCCTACTATGCTTAGATGAATATTAGTTGACACTTTTTATTCATCCATACATCACATATCGCTGTTATGAAACTCTTCCTTTCCCCATTTATGTTCCGTTGTTGATCTTATGTCCTTGTATCCAGGTTAATGGACAAATTACAGAAACAGCATGCTACGTGTATCACTGTCTAGAACATAATAAGGAGATTCTTCGGTGCATGCGTGTGACTGGTGTTCTTGAGAAAGAAGGCATCGACACTCAGGGCTGGGATGCGTTGAAGTATGTGACAGCTTTTATGCTCATGTGTACAAATGAAGATCCATCTGAGCCTAATCAGGTTAATTTTCTTGCTGATATCTTGTAATGTTGTTTTTACTACCATATATGATGGAGTTAGCCTATTAAGCTACAGGTGTGTTCATTTCAGGGGTTTTCAGCAGAGGATCTTGCGAAGATAATCGGTGGTAAAGGGAAATATGATAAGGGACTTCTCAAGGACAATTTTATGTCGATTTACAGAAAAGCGGTCGATGTCCACCAAACGAAAGTTGCGAAGTTACAAGAGTTGGATGCTTTGGTTAAGGAGGCTAAAGAAAGGGCAAGAGAAGCTCCGCAGTTGCAAGACGTGGTGGTGTCTGTCACGGAGAAGAGCAAGATAGAGCCTTGAGGAGCCTAGTGCTACACTGCCAACAGCCAACGGATAGGAATTTCGTTGTTGATGCTGATGGTATGAGAATATAGTGAGGTCATTGCCATCTTGTTTAGGTCCGTCTTGTGAGGCTGCTTGCTTATGCCGATACATTTGACAAGTCTGAAAAATTGGCTATTAATTTTGGACCCCCATAGCTGGCTGTCGTCAGCTGGGAACGATCCTCCAACGAACGAAATCGTTCGCTGGAGAAGTAAACAACCAGCGACGCGTTGTCCATGAAGCACGCCGGAAAAGAAGAGATAGGCCCAGCTAGCTCAATTTTGGACAAATTTTTTTCAGGGAATTTTTCGACAAAATTGCCACCAATAAAATACTATGAACAAAAAAATTCTAACAAATTTATAAATTGAGAAGATGCCGTGCTCTGATTTTTTTTTTTTTGCCGTGCTACCTTGTAAAATAGCCATCCTCTAGTCTTGATAAAAAGTTTTATCTCCAAAAAAGAAAAAGAAAATGTCATGCCACTAAAAATAAAAAATGCCATCCTATTTAAAATAAGAAAATGACATACTCTCAATAATAAAAATGCCATCCTCTCAAACATTAAAAAATGCCATCCTATCTGTAATAAAAAATGTCATCCTCTTGATAATAAAAATGTCATCCTCTCGATAATAAAAATGTCATCCTATTATTGATAAAAATGCCATCCTATTGTTAATAAAACTGCCATGTCATGAAAAATAAAAATGCCATCTCTCAAATAATAAAAATGTCATCTTCTCAACAATAAAAATGCAATCCTATTATTGATAAACACTAGCACAATGCCCGTGCGTTGCTACGCCATAAAAACGACGATGAGATACTACTGGCTTAGAAAATCATGAAAAGATGATGATGTCTTACATCTATTGCATGCTTTATGATTAAAAATGGAGCGTTATAACGAAATGTCATTTTGTAGTTACTAATAATTTTTAAGTGACTATTATAGGTCCTTTGCAAGTTTTACAGTGATATACAATTTTAAATTTTAAATCATAGGCGAATGGACTTGAGTAATTTGAATGCACAAGATCTCTGATTAGGACCACGTGAATTGATTGGGCAGAGAAATTAAAATAAAGACCATGATTTAAAATTAAAATCCTATGCACTTATATGTGTTTTTATAAGAGTGTTATGCTCATATTAGGGTAGCAGTGTATATATTTATCTCGGATATGTCTCACAATAGTCACATTTGTTTATTATATCTTGAAAAAAGTTTATTTTACTACCCTGAACAAAATTAGTGGTTTACCTTACCCCTTAATGTTTTTTCTGCTCTTTTCACCCCCTAAACAATTCTAAACCGGACAAAAGACACCCTTGGGTGGTTTGTGTCAACTTGCAGCTGACGTGGCACTGGTCGATGGTGGTTTTGACCTGCGGCTGGGGCCACAAGGATTGACTTAACTAAAACAGGAAATTAGCCTGTGGTTCATTAGGCAGTGGGGCCCACTTGGCAGTGACTCAGGGGGTGGATTAACTAAGTGCTAATGATAGGTTTAGCCGGTGGCTAACCGGAGCATGATAGAGCTAAGGGCACAGACAGCAGGGAGGTGCTGCAGCGGCTGGCGACGGAGCAGCGCTGGGCATAGAGTTCGCCGGCGTGGAGGGCCTCAACGGCGGTGCATCAGCGCGGTGGTGCTCTGGCGCAGCCATGCGCAGAGGAGCTCAGGGCGGCGGTCATGGCGGCTGCAGAGGGCGTTGCCTCCCGTCGACCAGAGGCGGCCGACCATTGACGTGGAGGCGGCACCAGGGGCCGGCCATGGGCGTGGAGGCGGCAGCAAGGGCCGGCGGGCGAGCAGAGGGACATCTGGTGGCAGGGTCGGCGGGCCAGTGGACCAGGGCGGCACTTCGGTGGTCGGACTTGAGCAGGCGAGCCGAGGCACATGCCGGCGGTGTAGAACCAGCGTCCCGCGGGAGGACGAGGGAGCAGGTGGACCGGGGCACATGGGTGGTTGCCCTTAGCCGGCAACGGCCATGGCCGATAGGGCACTGGGGCGATGGCACAAGAAACATGAGGAGGGAATGGATTTAGGGATCGATGGGGTGTGGGCCTTGGGCCCACTGGTCAGATGCAACATTTGACCAGCAGGCAAACCAGCCAGGGATGATTCTTGTCCGGTTTGGGATTGTTTAGGGGGTGAAAAGAGCAGAAAAATAGATTAGAGGGTAATGTGAACCATCAACTTTATTCAAGGTAGTAAAATGTACTTTTTTCTTATATCTTTTGGAAGGTTGCTAGTCTCACGTGTGGGTAAAAGTGCATTCATTTATTTGTATGGTCCCACATATGAATTCACCATCAACTTCAACCTTTATAAGTAGGAAAGATACCACCCTATTGGTAATAAAAATGCCATGTGGTTGGTAATAAAAAAATAGCATGCCATGAGATATAAAAATGCCATCTCTCAAAAATATAAATGTGATCTCTAAATAATAAAAACGACATCCTCTGAATAACAAAATGGCCATCCTCTTAAACAAATGTCATGCTATAAAACATAAAGCTGCCATGTGAGGACATATATTTTTTTTGGATTGTCAGGACGAACTAAAAAACAAATTAACTTCCAAAAATCTATATGTAGACACAAATTGTTCACAAAAGCCCTCTCAGCATAGTGC